TGGAATTTTTCACACACAAGCCTTGCTATATGAGCTCTCAAAGCATATAAAAATTATACGGCTTAAATGTGAAGTTGGGTGCAAAAGAATACAATTAAATCCTCTGTCGGGAAAAAACGAAATGACTTTCCGAACAACCCTATAATACACGTCTCGTCACTCAAGGTGCCATTCTCAGTTGAACAATTTTTAGAAACTCCAACTTTATGTAAGTTTTTCCTGATTTTGTGGCTTACCTATGACTATGATGAATTAGCAGATCACCCAGATATCAAGGGTGCTATATTGGTCGTAGGTTTTTAATATTTTATTGTCAACAATTCAGTTTAAATATGTAATGGAAATGAATATTTTATTTATGACAAATACCTGACATGATATGAAAATTGTTCTGTAACTTTTTCATTATCTATCGCATTTGGTTCGGTTCTGTGTCTAATGCCAATGTTACCTTTAAATTTACCACCCTGGTGTATCATAAAGCAAGCAAACGCGTCGGGCAACCGATTAAAACTTTCGAAGTTAATTTGGAAGTTATTTCCACAGATTGTGGAATATGGCTTCGATCCTGTTCCTGCGGTTAATAAACTTAATAAATTTCTATAGCATCCGTCGTAACGATTTGCGAAAAGGTCATTTGAAGTTAAAAGGAAAAGGAAATTTCAACAAGAACTGCTGCAATTAATAGCAGCGTAGACTACGTGTTCTCAATATTTTTTTTTAACATTTTTAGAACGTCATATTTGAGTTTTTTCTTTAATCGGGGTTGAATATTGCGGCGGATATATCTTCATTATTAGATTAAGACTCACAATAGATACTTTTTTGAACTAATAACTGCAAAATCATTCATATAACAAGCAATTTTTGTCATGTTTTCACAAGATTATGGTTTTAAAATCAAAGTTATTGTTATTTATTATTTTGACGATTAATTTTTGAATATATGATCGCATAAATAATGTATTTTTGGGTGAGGCTATTCACTGGTACCGTACCGATGACCAAGAATATTTTTGCCGGTACCGTACCGGTGACTAAGAAATTCACTGGTACCGTACCGGTGACTAAGAAGAAATTAACCGGTACCGTACCGGTGACTAGTAAGAAATTCATCGGTACCGTACCGTTGACTAGGAAGCTATTCACCGGTACCCTAATATGGTTTACGAAACTCTAACACTAATGAGCATGGGGCATTCAGATTTTCGGAAAATTCAAAAATTTCTTTGAAAATTGAGAGGGTGTATACAACATTTTAAGTAATATGTAGAAAACGTGTCGAATGTAATGAGAAATAAATGTATGTTTATGTGATGAGTGCTGGAGGAAAGAGAGATCAAATTTCTTCCAGTAAAAATTACTGAATGTTACATTCGAATTTTATTTTCATTTTATTTTGTTTTCTTCATCCCTGGAATTTTTTTTTGTTGCCGAGTTCAGGTAATGATAACGAAGGTGGGCATCAGCAGTTGACTTAAAACGTAAAAGTTCCTAAAACAGAAACTTAAATTTACGTTTTGTGTTGATTGAGAAAGGAAAATTGAATAACTTTTTTTGTATGGAAAATAAGCTCTCTCGTTTTTAAAAGGAATATGAAATGGTAAAAGATTCTTTTTTATTGTAACATAAAAATTTTTTGAAATCTATAGGGTTGTTCGGAAAGTCATTTCGTTTTTTTTTGTGGAAATGAAAGACAGTTTTCGTATAATAAACAAATACTTTATTAAATTATATATTGACCGTTCTGGTCCAACACCTTTTGCCATCTTTCTGGTAGTAGCATAATTCCACGCTCATAAAATTTTTGGTCTTTGCTGGCAAAAAACTGATCGAGGAGGTTTTTGACCTCCTCATTTGAGGTGAAGGTTTTACCGTCTAAAAAATTTTGGAGTGACCGGAACAAATAATAATCCGATGGTGCCAGGTCTGGAGAATATGGTGGGTGTAGCATTGTATCCCATTCAAGCTGTAAAAGCTTTTGGCGAGTGACCAAACTTGTGTGAGGTCTCGCGTTGTCTTGGTGAAACACTACACCTTTCCTGTTGATTAGTTCTGACCTTTTCTGTTGAAGTGCATCATTCAGTTTGTCCAGCTGATGACAGTAGACTTCCGAATTAATCGTTGTGTTATCCGGTAAAAGCTCAAAAAAAACGATTCCTTTAAAATCCCACCAAACAGACAGCATCACCTTTTTTTGGTGAATATCGGCTTTGGAAATGGTTTGAGCCGGTTCATCTTTTTTGCTCCATGACCTCTTGCGTTTGACGTTGTTGTATACAACCCATTTTTCGTCCCCAGTGATGATGCGCTTCAAAAACGGATCATTTTCGTGACGTTTGAGAAGCGAATCGCAGACGTCAATGCGGCGACACAGATTTCTCTCTGTGAGAACATGGGGAACCCATACATCGAGCTTCGAGGATAATCCCAGGCCTTTCAAGTGGTCATAAACTGTTGAATTTGATAAATTTAACCTCAATCCGATCTCACGTGTTGTTATTCGCCGGTTCACATCAACTAATGCCTTTATCGCGTCTTTATCAGCTTCAACCGGCCTTCCCGAACGTGGTGCATCTTCGACATCAAAATTGCCGGATCGAAATTTAGCGAACCAGTTCTGGCACTGGCGTACTGTCAACACACCTTCTCCATACACATCAGTCAATTTCTTTCTGGCTTGAACAGCATTTTTACCCTTTCTGTAGTAAAACAGTAAGATATGTCGAAAATGCTGCTTATCGCTCTCCATATTTAAAAGGGCACCAACCAAAAACTACTGCGTAGAATTAATTGGAATTTTTCACACACAAGCCTTGCTATATGAGCTCTCAAAGCATATAAAAATTATACGGCTTAAATGTGAAGTTGGGTGCAAAAGAATACAATTAAATCCTCTGTCGGGAAAAAACGAAATGACTTTCCGAACAACCCTATAATACACGTCTCGTCACTCAAGGTGCCATTCTCAGTTGAACAATTTTTAGAAACTCCAACTTTATGTAAGTTTTTCCTGATTTTGTGGCTTACCTATGACTATGATGAATTAGCAGATCACCCAGATATCAAGGGTGCTATATTGGTCGTAGGTTTTTAATATTTTATTGTCAACAATTCAGTTTAAATATGTAATGGAAATGAATATTTTATTTATGACAAATACCTGACATGATATGAAAATTGTTCTGTAACTTTTTCATTATCTATCGCATTTGGTTCGGTTCTGTGTCTAATGCCAATGTTACCTTTAAATTTACCACCCTGGTGTATCATAAAGCAAGCAAACGCGTCGGGCAACCGATTAAAACTTTCGAAGTTAATTTGGAAGTTATTTCCACAGATTGTGGAATATGGCTTCGATCCTGTTCCTGCGGTTAATAAACTTAATAAATTTCTATAGCATCCGTCGTAACGATTTGCGAAAAGGTCATTTGAAGTTAAAAGGAAAAGGAAATTTCAACAAGAACTGCTGCAATTAATAGCAGCGTAGACTACGTGTTCTCAATATTTTTTTTTAACATTTTTAGAACGTCATATTTGAGTTTTTTCTTTAATCGGGGTTGAATATTGCGGCGGATATATCTTCATTATTAGATTAAGACTCACAATAGATACTTTTTTGAACTAATAACTGCAAAATCATTCATATAACAAGCAATTTTTGTCATGTTTTCACAAGATTATGGTTTTAAAATCAAAGTTATTGTTATTTATTATTTTGACGATTAATTTTTGAATATATGATCGCATAAATAATGTATTTTTGGGTGAGGCTATTCACTGGTACCGTACCGATGACCAAGAATATTTTTGCCGGTACCGTACCGGTGACTAAGAAATTCACTGGTACCGTACCGGTGACTAAGAAGAAATTAACCGGTACCGTACCGGTGACTAGTAAGAAATTCATCGGTACCGTACCGTTGACTAGGAAGCTATTCACCGGTACCCTAATATGGTTTACGAAACTCTAACACTAATGAGCATGGGGCATTCAGATTTTCGGAAAATTCAAAAATTTCTTTGAAAATTGAGAGGGTGTATACAACGGATAAACTTGAATACTAAATTTTTAGTCAAAAACAAGGGCGAGGGGTATTTACACGTAGAAGGTAAAAATTTAATTCAATTTTTATTAATTTA